GAAAAACTGTAATGAGATTAAATGGATTACCCAGGGGATAAAGGTGTCACATTGGGAAATGAGACTTTAAAACACTTTAAAGAAAAATACAAATTTTTCAAATGATGTATTAGAATACATTAATAAATGTCAGAAAATCTATGAAAGGGTTATAACAGAAGCTGAAAGAAAAGAAAATGATAGGTTTATGTTAAGTTCACATAACAAAACAAAGGCAATTTGGCAAACAATAAATAAAGAAACTGGAAGTTCTCAGCAGGGCAACTATATAACTAGTTTAAAGAATGGAAGTGAGGAAACATCAAATCCAAAAAAAATAGCAGACATGTTGAATTCCCTTTTTATTGAAAGTGTTAAGATCTTTTAGCGAATAATATAAACCATTCTCCAGTACAAACCTCGCAAACAGAGGATTCAATATCAAATAAACACAATGTTTTGGCTCCCTATTACTGAAATTGAAATAGAGGTGGTAATAAAAAGTCTAAGAGGTAAACCATCTGCAGGCTTTGATGAAATTCCAGAATATTTAGCCAAGAGATGTTCACATTACACATATTTTCAATGCCTCTTTAAAATCGGGGGTCTTTCCGGATAAGATGAAAATAGCTAAAGTAAGACCACTGTATAAAAAGGGGACACACAGGAAGTTTGTAATTACAGGCCAATATCAGTTTTGCTGGTTTTCTCCAAAATACTAGAAAAATTGGTGTGTAACAGGTTGATATCTTTTGTAACAAAATATACCATATTAACAGAAGAGTAAGATGGATTTAGGAAAAACAAATTGACAGAAACAGCTTCCCAGACCTTCACTGAGAGTATACAGGAGGCGATGGATAGACAGTTACACGTTATAGGAATATTTTTTGACTTGACAAAGGCATATGATGTGATACACCATAATGTATTACTAGATAAATTAAATTACTATGGAATCAGAGGGGTTACTAATTTATGGTTTAAAGCTTATTTATCTCACCAAGTACAATTTGTTGAAATAAATCACCTGAATAAAAATATCATCCAAAATACATATTGAGAGAAACAATACATGGGGTACCACAGGGGTCAATTCTGGGACCACTACTGTTTCCTTTGTATATAAATTATCTCCCGCTAAATGTACAAGGTGTGGAAATGGTATTGTTTGCAGACGATATTAATGTACTTGCTATTGATAAAGATAAAGATGTAGCTCAATAGAAAATAAATAACATCATGAAACAGCTTGAAACATGCACTGATATGTTGGGATTTTGGACTTTATCCATCGTCCTGGTTTTTAAGATAACAAATAAAAACCAGGACGATGGATAAAGTCCAAAATCCCAACATATCAGTGTGTTATACACCATCGTCAGAATCCTATAGTAACTACTAGCTTGAAACATGGTTTCAGGTAAATAATCTTTACATAAATATTAAAAAAATTTCTGCTATGTCATTCCATCTTAATAACAATAGGTTTGCAGTTAGACCGCAGATACTCTATAACAACTTGGAAATTGCTTACTCATTGGAACTGAGATTTTTAGGTACAGATATTATAGAAAACCTTAAATGGAATACCCACATCCAGTCATTATGATCAAAACTTAGTAAAACATCCTGTATAATTAAATCACTATGAGGAGTTTTGAGTCCAAATATGTTAAGAAGCATTTATTTTGGACAGTTCCAATCGTTACTGAGAAATGGAATATTACTATTTTGGGGGGGGGGTGAATGTGATAGTATAAAGGTATTTAAAATGCAGAAGAGCGTGTTGCGAATAATTAGTGGACTTGGTAAACAAGAGTCATGCAGGCAAATTTTTAAAGATTATGGCATCCTCATGGTCACATCTTTGTATATCTTAGAGGTATTATGTGACATAAAAAAGCACAAAGCAGATTTGATCCAAAATATAAATATTCATAGTTATAATACAAGAATAAACAAGGATTTTCATGTTCAATTCTGCAGAACTACATTATTTAAAAAAGTGTGGTAAATATGGGCATAGAATTGCATAGTAATGTGCGGTAAATATGGGGATAGAATTGTATAGTAATGTGCCAAACAAAATAAAAAACTTGGTGGGGTTTTCACCTTTTAAAAAACACTTAAAATCATTTTTACTGAAACATTCTTTTTATACAATAAATTAATTTGTTAGTTTTAATAAAAAAGTGGATGGTGCAAGTACTTATGTTGGAATGTCATAGCCATTCATGAGCTGCATATAGTAGTTTGTATATTTTTTTAAATGTTGTATTTATATATTTCTTATGATTGTAACAAATGTTGGTAGTATGCTTGTAACTTTGTAGATTTATTTTGTTAACTTGTATTACCGAATGACTTGTCCAAGTGTTACTATGTAACAAAATGGATGAAATAAAATACGATACAATACAAGAGCCTCTCGTCTGTCTTGATTCTGAACCAGATGAATCCTACGTACACCTTCAGAACATGTTTCCTTAAGACCCATTTTATTATTATTCTATCTATACCTAGGTTTTTTCATGAGGTCCCTTTCCTTCAGGTTTTACCGATCAAAATTCTGCATTCTTCTTGCCCCACATTAATGTTTGGCAAGCAGGACAAATTACAGAGCTCCTCATTATGCAGGTTTCTCTGGCCTCCTGTAACTTCATCTCTATTGGGTCAAAACATTCTCCTCAGCACCTGTTCTCAAACACGCACAGTCTGTTTCGTTTTCTTTTAATGACACAGGCCAAGTTGACTTCCACACAAAACTACAGGAAAATTATGGTTCCGTATATTCTGATCTTTGCATTTTAAGATAGCAGCTGAGAAAAAATATGCAACTATAAGACAGCAAGCACTCCCCAATTGAATCTGTTCTTGTACCCTTCATGAGTGCAAATTGCAACTGTTAAGGTTACTCCCAAATATATTCTAATGTGCAGTGCCTCTGTTATGCACAGACCCCAGGAAGGAACATACATTGCTAGGTAATGCCTGCAATATACACACATGCAACAACAGAAGAACAGGGTTTTTTATGTGTTTCCTGCTGGATCTTTGCTTTGCAATGGCATGATAAACATTCATCTTCACCAACAGAAAGGCAGTATTTTCTGCATGGTCCATGCTGAGGGGTTATCTTGAAGACAATTGGCACTGCAGAGAAGTTGGGGCCATTCAATGAAAGCAGTCCAGTTTTGAGAAGCCAGCCAACCAGCAAGGATATCAGCTTCAGAGCAGAGGAACTGAATTGAGGCATCAGAAGTACTGAGTGCAGTTTAGTTGAGACTTAAAGGTCAGCCTGTGAAGAGAAGACCTAGCACGTGACTTGAAGAATTCACACGTGCTGTACGTAATACACTGATATTTAAGAACATGTAATTCAGTGAGATTGTTATAGTTCCTGTGTTTAAATCCATTGCCAGGAATCAACTAGTGGAGACTGTAATAGAATGACGACGCTAGCGCATGTAACAGTGAATTATAAATTGTGGAAATCAGCGATAGCATGGTATTTGTAGTTATGAGTTGAGTGTATAAGTGCAATAAATCCAATCAACCAATCCAGACCCCATTAACAGTCACCTGTACACATGACAACTGGTGTCAGAAGTTTATCAAGTACGAGTGGGAAGAAATCTACAAAGGGAGGAATATCCAAGAATTTGACCCCTCTGTTGGAGGGGAAGATATAATTGTGAAATTCAAGGACAGTTTAAGTTCCAGTGGAAGCAGCAACCTCCATGATCAGCTTAAGGCAGAGATGCAAACACTCAACTTCAGGAGGAAATCACAAAATGGAGGTCTTACTTAGTGATGCCCTGCTCATCACTGAATTTTGAATTGAATTTATTTACATTCTATAAATCCTAAGCAGGTTAGTACCTTTGGATACAGAACAAGTCAAAAGGTTACATACATAAGTACAGGCAATTTTAGCTTAAAAATTAATATAACTTAATTTTACATCATTCTCTATTTACATTGAAGTATTCATCTAAAGAGTAGAAGGAATGAGCATGTAGATAATTCTTTAACTCTGATTTAAACTTTTTAGTATCATTGCCCAAGTTTTTAATACTTTGTGGCA